ATTTGTTTTTTTTATAAACTATCATCGGGTTTGCCAAGCAATTTAATATGTTGGTATAAGTTGAAAAGCAGCACTATGTTCCTGCGATCCTTTTGTTTATGCTGCGGTGCTGCTGATTACGAGTTCAAAAAACTGCTTCATCTGTATTTATTTTTGTTTTGAACAAGAAATAAATTAACTGGGATTTTATACTTGACAATATTTGAACAAATTACAATTTTTTTCGGTCATCAATTTATGTTTAAAGCTAAAGTATTCCTTCTTCTTTTTTCCTCAACTTTCTTCTTTTTGCGTCTAAAGTTGAAAACAAATTTCAATTTCTGCTCTGTGTTTCTTTTCAGGCAAACCGTAACGTGTTAAAACAGTGCTGCCTGCAGCGGTTAGTCAGACTAAGTGGAAAATCAAAACTTAGAACATTTTTAATACTAAAGAGCAACTAACTGCTAAACAACGCTAATGTAACCGGTAATTTAGCTACTTTTTCCTCTGCCTATTTTTATTTCATCTTTTAATCAAAAAGAAGCACTAAAAATGACCAGCATTGCATCTGTTTTGAATTTCGTCATAAGCTGCTTGGCTGCTTTTGTAAGTAAGTAAACTGCTCATAGACCATCTAAATGAGCCTAATTTATGTCAGTTATATATTTCATTTTTTTCATAGATCTATCAACGAACAAACTTTTGGACCGATTGGCCAGAACTATTAGTGAAAAAATTAGACTGCCATTACATTTTTGCCCATGCTACGATCTCATATTATCTATTTTATCGTCGTTTTAATTACCGGTGTTCAATTAACAGGCAAGAGTTACAGTCTGTAAAGATTTAGATGTTAAACACTACTAATAGTAATTTTTTATTTGTTAATTAGTCTTAATACAGCAATCCATAAAAAAATCAACTGTGAAATTTTGTTTAGTGAAGAAGTAGTGCTTAAATTTTTACGCATTTTTTTGAGAAAACAAAAAATTTGATTTGAACAACCTAACATCAATCAAATGCATCTAAATTGCCGTAAACAAGTGATGAACAAAAAAAGATAAATCATTAACCGTTATGGAATTAAGAAATAAAGATTACAGAATGGCCAGATAAAGATGTCAAGAAATTTGCTCAATGTTTGACGAGGCCAGTTGACTGCATAAAAAGTAAGGAGAAACAACAGCATTCCAAAAGTTTAGCGCCAAAGGAAACGTTTAGATGTATAATAGAAAGATCAAAAAATTTGAACCCTAATTGGAATATAGCAAACTTATTTTGTCATTGTTGGAACATCACCGAAACTGCAATACAGAATGGCTTTTTGGCATTCTTGAAAAATTCCGAAAAATGGGAGATCAAATACTTATATGGCGAACCATATACAGAGGACGAATTAATAGGTGATTTTTACATCGTTGCATCAATGTCTATCAATGTGTAAATTATTTATTGGTTTTTTTTTTTTTTTTTTTTTT